ATGTTTATTTGCTTGAAACAGCAAAACTTTAAATTATCAGTGTTAATTGATCATTGTCAAGTATTGATAAGAAAGTACTCTAATCATAGCCATATACATTTTCTTTCAGCTTCATTCCCTTTCTGTTTAGTTCAGTTGCCTTTAAAAAAAATAAAAAACAAAAAAAATCTTTAAAAGCATTGTTTTCTTCTTTACACTTTGCTCTCCTCAACAAAATGTTGACATCTTGTCAAAACATTCAAAATGAAATGTTATCAGTGACACTGGGAATGTTTGGATAAGCTAATGAAAGAGAGAGCTTGGCTTTCCCAGCCAAAGTCCCTGGCATCCTGGTCTGTCAGTCTTGCAGTCCCCACTTTCTGTGATGGAAAAGTAGAAATGAGCAGGCTAAAACTTCTCTGGCATTATCCTGTATCCAGTAGTAGGTTTATTTTTGCTAACATTTAGTAACACTGTCAATGAGACCATGCTGTAATGCTGAAGATTCGCATCAGCCTTGTTGACAAGTTGTTAGAGCTATCTATATAAAGATATTTTTATCTTTTGCATAACAAACCCTGGAGTTGGGGTGACGAGTTTTACTTTTTTTAAGGCTTGATTTACATCTGCTTAAAAGAATATTTAGTTGACTAAGTCAAACATTGAAACAGAAATGTGTCATATTTATGATGTTCTGTGCTGCCTAATTCTGTCCCCTTATGCAGGTATATATCATGACAACTATTCCTTGAAGAGTGATTGTCTTGTGCCACAAGATTTGTGTATCTAATATGCAAAACATTTAAAGTGTCTTTTTTAATTCAGGTACTCAGTTTTTTAGACTATGAAACATTACATTTGGTTAGTCTGATATGTTGTGTACACATCCAGAATTTCATGAAAGAGCTCTTCATCTTTATCCCTCTTCTTCTCTCCACGGGGAGGTAGAAGTAAATCACAGGACTTTGTTCATTTATTTCCTCCCTTTGAGTGACATAAGTGGTAACACAAGCTGGTTTGGTGTCTGTCTGGAGAGTGGTGTGCTGAGTAGTCCTGAGGAAGTGAAGGTCTGGAAGTGGGTATAACTACTGACAGTTGATACATGGAAAAAAAAGGAAGCCTTAAACTTGTCTGTGTGGACAAAACTATTCCCAGGCTGTCAAGAGCAAAAGAAGAACATAGCTTTGCATACGTATCACTGTTTCTAACTAATTCATAGGATTATGTGTGGCTAAGAAGATACTGCAGAAAAGCTCAATTAAAATTTTTATGAAGGTGCAAAATTAATTTTTATGAAGAATTTAAAAAAAAAGAGAAAACAAGAAGTTTGTCTGTCCTATTCCATTTCTATGTTATACCTCCACAACATTCAGATATCCACCAAAGGCTTCCATTCTGAGTATTTCATTTGAATTTATCTAGGGTGGTCATGACTAAAGTTTGAGTGAGTATTATCGTACGGTGAGTACACATAGCTCATCAATAGGGCTAATGGTCTGAGTTTGTTCCTTGGTTTAAGCAGGACTTATCTTCTAGTGAAAGGAATACTTGGTTCTGAAAGCTATTGGCAATCTGACAGCAGGCTTTTGTACAGAATCTCCCTTTCAAATTTGTTGGTCTTTTGACCTTTCTTTTGATTTCAGTCTGAGAACAGACTTCAAACTGTCAGAACAAGGAAAGGTAGAAAGGGTGGTAAAGAGTGACCACAAAGCTTTTTTTTTTTTTTATGCGCATATAAAAGGTGGACTATACCCAAGTTGCTTTGTGATAAGATTATGCTTCATTTGGTCTCTTTCCTGCTTCCCTGTGATGTGCTTATATAGCCTTGAGGTTATTAAAATATATTTTGAACCTTCAGTTCATAATGCAAGAGAAAGATTAGACTCTTTCGCCAAGAGTGGTGGCTTGGGGCAATAACATGGGTCTGTATATAAATAAACCTCCTAAAGAAATGTCCTTGATAGGTGACTCTTGACAATACAGAATATGTTAGTGTTCACCACCTGAAGCAAGAAAGGAATTTCTGTCTTAAAAATGAGTACACTCAAAAGAATTACAACAGAATAGAGCACTTCTTTTGATGAGTTTTTCTTTTGGCTCATAGAATTATATGATGCTGGCTTTTAGTAAAAGCTGTGTAACAGCTTGCATTGGATCAGTACATTTTTCCAAGAGTGCTCCTCAATAGTAAAAGACAGCACACTTTGTTTCTTCACAGAGTGCAAGAGCAAACTGACCTAGTCCTGACCTAAACTGGATCATCTCCTCTAGTCCTGAAGACTACCTCATATTTATTTGCTACTTGCAGAGTAAAGACAGAAGAACAAAAAAAAAAACAAGACAACAAGCTCAGCTTAGGACTTATTAATATTGACTGTATAAGTAATTCCAAGACTAACAGCTCCACCATGCAGGGCGTAGTTTGGAACTCTTCAAGAAAGTAATAGCCAATGCATGTATTGGATATGTGTTTCCTTTACTAGTACATATAATTTTTGATGGATAACTGCTATACTTAATCACAATATCTTCAGACATTTTTAGAAGAGGAAGAGGAGAATGAGGACAGATAATGACAAAATATGACTGAAGAGAAACAACAAATGACATTAAATGCTGACTGGATATGGAACAATTTCAGTGACTAATGTTTACCTGCAAAGAATTTGAATGTACTTTGATTATACAAAAGAGCAAATGAATTAAAATACAAAACATTAATTGGATCTGTCTCTATTTCTAATGTTGAACCATGTTACAATAACTTCCTTAAACCTACAAATCTGTCATTTTAAATAATATTACTGAATGTGTTTCTTAGTATAACTGGGTTAGATTTGTTTGAACATGGGTGGTGATTACAAGTTTCTTCCAGGAGCCGCCTTTAACTGATTTCTGTGTTTGTATGTGTCTCGAAAAGGCATGAAACTATTGAAAAGAGTAGGATACGCTTCTACTTCTGGAGGAGATTCAAACACTTTTTAAAAGACCATTGTAGCTATTGATGCTGTTTAGGGGAAGGAAGTCAGAGCAACTTCTTGTACAACTGAAACTACTGATAGAATGCAGCCAGGCAAAGTAGAACTTTTTAAATAAGAATTTGTCCAGTTTAAGATTTATAATGAGTAAAGTAAAACTGCCCAATGCTGCTGCTTTTTGAATGCGTCACTTCAGATTGATAAGATGGCCCTCTATGACACTTCTGACAGTAACACTATTGAGCAGTTTTTCCCAGAAGTTTTGATAAAAGAGTCAAATCTGTACAAAGAATGAATGAAGAATGTAAAATTAAAATGCAAGAAGAAACAGTAGAAATACCTTGCTTCTGACATCAGTTCTACCTTCTTTTAAAAGGGCTTGTTTGCTTTCTCTGCATTCATCTTCATAATAAGAATATTTAAACTCAGTATAAAGCAAATATGTTTCTTCCCATGATTTTTCTCTCCTTCAGTCTTCTTTCCTCCTATTCCCAATTCTCCCTGTCCCTTTTTTAAATGCCTTATGTGGAAGCATTACCTGATAACTGAACTAGTTGTGTCGTGCTCAGAGATGCCAGTCTGCCTCTTGGACAGCTTGACTAGGACAGAGAGGATCAGATGAACTTCCTTTGAAGCATATTGTTATACATACAGCTGTGGTGGTCCTTCAAAAGTGAAGCTACTGGTTCACCTCCCATGCTTACATACATACCTCACAGGCAGTCAGGGAACTTCCAGTTGAAAATTCAAATTAGAAAGCTGAATTGGAATCTTGGTGTGTCCAGATAATTTTCAAAACTGCAGTTTTCCAAAGATAGTGAATAGAGTGGGAAGTGACTCATCTGCTTGCTTTTCCTAAGGAACCCTCTAAATCTCAGCTGATCACTTGGCAGTAATCAGCGGTGGCAGCAGTGGTCCTGAGAACTCTTACGGGTTTTTTTAAGAATTAAAGTAGTATGTTGGTAAGGAACACAATTGTGGAAGTGTAAGAAGTCCAAAAAAGAAATTTAAAACTAAAAAAATTATCTAGCTGTACTTACATATCTTATAAATCATTAGTAGGCTGGTTGGCGGTGGTGGTGGTAGCATTAATACCCAGCTGGGCTGAATAATCCCAGAATGGATGGGATTGGAATACAGAATGTTTGCTGAGATCTTTATTATACTTCTAGTGCATTACCAGCATTTAGGCATTCATTATCTTCTGTTATGAGTAGTCTGCATTAACAGCAAACTTACGAATGATGCTGTTGGAATTGAAAAATTGATCTTGCAAACAGGACATGACACAACCAGTGACAATTGTAACAGTTTATATTAAACCATATAAGTATGTAGCAGGCATGGACAGAGGTTTACACGAATTAAAACTATTTCCAAAGTCAGCATTGTTTAACTTAAGTTTTAGCAGGGTGAACATTATAGACAATAAAGGAAGATAGCTGATATTAATCTTACAGATGATGTGTGGTATTATAAATCTCAGCATCTGTAAAATGCATGGACTTAATTTTGTTTCTATTCTAAGTCTGATGTCTGATTAGTTTAAATATCTTTGAATTAGTGGAATGATGCCCTGAGTATCAGGTCTTCGTTCAAGTGATTTTAATGAGTATCAAGTCAGATGGTTAAGGGAGAATGATTCTACAGTAAACATGGAAGTTTCAGATGTCAGGGTAACAAAGTGGAAGCTATTCCAGTAAAATAAGCAACATCAGTTGAGAGTGCAAAGGAAAGCATGGTTTCAGAGGAGTAAGCAGCTTCATTAAACTGTATTAATGATCCCTGTAGATAAATTTTGCATTTAAATTAATGTCTTGCTTCTAGAGAAAGCAGTTTTACTGAGCTTCAACAGATGATGCAGAGATTTAAATGGGCTAAACATCTGTGATACCCTGACGACTGACCTTCTAAACAAGATTTTTAATTTCTTTTTTTTTAGAATTATATGAGCTGCAGATTTAGTAGTCCACTCTTTTTTTTTTTTTTTCCTCTCTGCTAAAAGACAGCTGTTTGAATTAAAATCATTCTTTATCCTTGCAGGCTCTTCATTCTGGTGCTTACTGGATATTGTTCCTATAAAGAATGAAAAAGGAGATGTAGTACTCTTTCTCGCCTCATTCAAAGATATAACAGACACAAAAGTGAAGATTCCTGCAGAAGACAAAAAGGAAGGTTTGTATAACAACACTGATAAGAACCAACACTGATAATTTTTTGAGAGTTGTACCTCCATGAACTCTCCCTCTCATGTACACTTTTCAATATAGAGATCTCATAGGTTTCCAAAGACGAAATTAATATATGACATAGAAAGAAAAATAATCTGTTGAAATTCTTGTTTGTAAATTTTTCTTATTTATGCATTGGTCCACAGTCTGTAAACGTGGAATCCAGGGCAAAGAGTACTTTGTCTTTAAATCTGAGTTTGTTTTACTATGCCATTATTTAATTTATTTACTTTCTGGATTTTTTTAAAAAAGCTATCTTTTAAGATATTCCTCCTGTGAATCTGATTTCAGCATGGCTGAGAGATGAGTGAATGCATTTTTTCATGTTTTTCCATGAGCTGAACATACAACTTTAGAAATTATTTTTCATGTTGAGAAGTGGATCTATTCCTGTTTCCTCTAATTTTCATTACATTATACAGAATTATTATATTTATTTTGTCTTTAGGAATATCCAGTAGTATAAGAAACACATTCTCACATTTATTTGCTTCTGAAAGAAAACAATGCAAGGATTCTCTGACGAATTTTGTAAAAGATTGTGTTATACTAACACTCCACAGCTGCCATAACATAATTTTGACTGTATAGTGAGTCACGTTTTGCTGAATTCTACTAACACAATTCAAAAACAGTGAGCGAGTATCGAGGTTATGCAGTCAGCATTGACCTTTGTTGTGTATCAAAGGCAGTGAACTTATCCCAGGTTTACATTTTGTAAAGGTATAGTGAGCCAAGACATTAGGTTTGCATCTTTTTGGTGTCAAAGGAACTGTCTAGAAAAGGTTTTCTGCATACACAAAGAGTAACTTTCAGAATTCTGCAAAATTTCATTAATGTTTAATTTTCCAATCTGATACTCTCTGGGTTTTATTTAATTTTTTCACCTTGTGGTAGTCATTTGATCTCTGCATATCTCAGAAAATACATAGGTATGGCCTTAAGACTCCTTTTATTCTTTAAGTGTTTCTGAAGTGGGGAAACAGTTAATATTCATCTTTTTCTGATTTAAAATATTAGCTTTTCAACAAAGTAGTTACATTTCAGTTACAGAGAATTGTAATTCAGTAAATTTTTTTACACCATTTTAGTAATTTAAAACAGAAAATATGCTTCCATGTGCTGCTGAATATTTGCAAACCAATATTTATGTTAAGAATGTCTGCCTCTTCTGTACATCTGGATAAATAAATTCACCTTTGTCTTACTTTTCAAGCCCTGAATAATGGAGGATTTGGGTTTTTTTCAATCCTTCACTTTTTGCACTGAACATATTTGAGAATTTCTGAGCTGAAAGACTGAAGAAAGATTTTGAAGTAGTACACAAATAAGTTTTGCAGCTTTTGCTTACTTACAATTTCAATCAATTGCTTCACCTCAAAGTAACCTATTTAAAATAGAAAAAAAAATTTATCTACTTTCTCCTACAGAAAACCTTACTGTTATGGATGTTTTAGGGAGGTACTTTGTTAAAACATGATACATGGGGTAATGTAGAAGAGAGATTGTCAGATCATTTGCGCTTTAAATGTTAATGATTTTTCTTAGGAGAGATATAGATTTTCAGGATACCCTCAGCAAGAAATCACATTTGGTATGCCAGTGATGAGTTGATATAGACATATCACTGATTACTTGTAAAGTGACAGCTATTGTTTATGTGATAAATATTTTATAGCTGTATGCTTATTTTAGGATGGATTAAAATTATCTTTAGCATTTGATGTTCGTGTTAAATTGTAAACCTAAGGAGATTTTAAATCTTGTTTGGTGTTGCACATTTAAAAATTTGTATTCATCCTGAATAGAGAACAATCCTGAAACTTGGTTTTTCCTTCTCTTTATACTAATTTTGAAATGGGAATCATTTTATGCTATTGTGATACTTGTTTGCATCACAGGAATAGAAAGTATCACTGTGGGGTTCTGCCAAATACACTGTTTTATATAAAAAAAAACCACAACAGGATTTAACCATTTATTCAAATTGTTTACAAACAATTGCAGCATTTTAATTTTATGTAAATCATCATGGCTTATTTATATATACTACATATAAATAAATTTAGTGTTACGTTAGCTTTTTAAGTAACATTCAAATTCTTCTACGCAAGAGTGATTTGTCTTACAGAGGCGAACATCATCTCATCATTGTCAGAAAAGAATTCCTATTACAATCTATACAACTTGATTCAGTATCTGAAATCTCAGAGTGTTTAGCTTCTAAAAGTAATCGGTTATTCGTAGATCACAACTTCCGTCAGGCATGTAGGATGCACTTCTTAAGAGAAAATTGAGTTTACATTATGTTATTAAATATCTCTTTTAATGTTTGGTGATTAACATCCTTTGCAGTGATTGATACAAATTCCCAGATATTTTCACAGTTAATATTGCTAAAAATATAATTTTACTTTTTCAAAGATTACTTAATTTGTCCTTTAAAAAAATCAGATAACTTGGAAACTTGCCAGCTCTTGCTATAAGATAATTGTCATTATGAGCAGTTTTCTACTGCCTTTTTGGCATACCTATTTTTGTTAGACTGCGTGTGGGAAGGAGAACTTGGATACAGATGTGGTCAGTATGAAACACTTTTGCCCATGCAAGGCTGTTTTATTAATTTTTTTTTTGTTTCACTCAATCTCTTCTCTGTTCTGCCCAGAACAGACTTTTATAATTTGTATGAAACATTAAGTCAAATTGCATCTCCTTTTAATTTGCAAATTCCTTAGAGAGCTTATCTAACAAAATTCCTTAATGTTTCTTCTCCTAAGCCCTTGGACCCCTTGGCACTCCACCAGCACTCTGTGGTAATACAGTGACTGCTGGTCCCTCCGGAAGTCTTCTCCAGACTCATTCTTCCTCATATCTTTTCCACCTTTGATGCCATCTGTTTCTTCTTTAAAATCTTGTTCTCCTTCTACTTTCACAGTGACATCTTCCTGAGCTTTATCTTCTGGTTTTATGGTCTTTCTTTTCTTGTGGGTTGCCTTTTTACTTTTAAAGACCTTAGCAGTTGATACTTTGATTTTCTGTGGACATTTTCTTACCTCATCTGTTCACACAACCTCAGTTGCTCCTTTGTGCCTGGTGCCTTGCAAAAGTCCAAGTTTTTGCCTGATTTCCCTTTACCCAGCCCAAATGTCAAGTGTCTTCAGTGACCCTTTCTTTTGAATGTCTCATTCTAAGTACAGATTTAAAGGAACTTTTTTCTGCTGTTCTTCTGTTATAAAAGTTTCCAGTGAAATCAGTCCTATCAACCAATGGCAAGAGCAGACTTTGTTTTAAGGCATTCATATAAGACAAAAACACATGCCTAAGGTATTTGGCAGTCTTTAAGAATGCTGTGACAGTCGATGGCTCTTATGTGGCTTTTTTAGTTTGGTTTAGATTTTTTTAGTTAATTTACTATCCCTCTCTCCCACCCCACATCCCTTTTAATTGCAATGTCCATAGAGGACTCAATTTTTCAATATTGCTGATTTATTTTCAACAATCTGTATTTCCCTACCTGTATAAGTTTATTGTAAAAATGGACATTGCTTTCCATCTGTTTAATAATACCTATAGTCATCTACTGTTGTGAAAAGAAACTCAACAGCTTTTCTTCCCAAACTTGGGCTCTTCAGTCAAACTGCTGGCCTTTCCGATCTACAGAAGTTTGAGTTTTCTATAAACATAGTGTTTCCTTCAGAGACTGTCTCATACAGTTTTATAGGAGATTTATTTTAGCATTACGACTTACAATTTTGGTAAACTGGTTAAGAGTTCCATTGTGCTTCCAGGGAAAAAGTGATCGAACTGAAAAAACCAAACTCCAAATCTGGACTCCTGTATGGTACGGTTGCTTCAGTGCTTTTTAATTTCTGAATATGAACTTTCCATAATACACTTGGACACATGCTGGAACTTAATGAAATTACAAGAATCCAAGTAGGGAAATAAGAAATTAAATTAGTCTGCAACTCCTTTTAGATCTCTAATCTGTCTGCAAATATGAAATAATTTGGGTTATATAGATCAGTACAGTATATATATAATACACTTTTACTGTTATAACCACTGCTAAAATTCCCTTATTGAATGTGACTCATTCCAACAAGTTTCCTTCAGCCTTTGTTGTTAATCCATTGGTGGTTTTACAATTTGAAAAAAAATTTATCCCTTTCAAAACAATTATCAGGACAAATTTTCTCAGCTTTATTGCAGCATTATTGTAAAAATGTGTGCAATACATAGAAACCACATAATCACACAATAGTTGATGTGGGAAGGCATCTCTGGAGATTGTCTTCTCCAGTGTTCAGTATTCAAAACAGGGTCAGCTAGAACAAGACCATGTCCAGATATGTGCTGAATATCATGAAGGATAGAGACTTCATAACTTCTCTGGGCAGCCTGTTACAGTGTTTGACTGCTCACAAAGAAAAAAAGTTTTTTCATATATTTAAACAGAATTTCACAAATTTATTTTTGTGCCCATTGCCTCTTGTACTTTCAATGGGCACCACTGAGGAGACTCTGGCTTTGTTGTCTTTGTTTCCCTCATTAGGTATTTATACACACTGATAAGTTCTACCCCAAGGTTTCTCTGCTGAGGCTGAACAGTCCCAGTTGTCTCAGGCTCTCCTCCTATGTCAGATACTTCAAACATCTTATCATCTTTGTGGCCATCTACTGGATTTGCTCTAGTATGTCCATGTTTCTCCTGCACTGAGGAGCCCAGATCTGTACCCAGTGCTGCAGATGCATTTTACCACTGTCATAGAGGGGGAGGAATCATTTCTTTAGCCTGCATGCAGTGGTCTTCACAATGCAGATTTCAATGCTGTTGGCTTTCTTTGCCACAAGGGTACATTACTGAAACATGTTAAACTTGGCATTTACCAGGACATTTGGGTCCTTTCCTGGCAATCTGCTTGCCTGCTGTTGCCCCCCACC